ACTCTCATTTTATTTCCCAATCCTTCCCTGATAGTCAGGAAAAAAAAAACCTTAAACAGGAGGGAATGGTCCTCAATCCCCCCAGGGAGATCTATTGAAAATGGCATTTAAAGTATTTAATAACCGAGATGAGGCTTGAGACCAGCAAAAGGCCCAGCTCTTGGCGGCTGCTCTGAGGCTACCTCCCCCAACTTCCAGACGGGCCAGACAGCAACGGACACCCCCAGGGGCCTGCTTCAATTACAACCAGATGGGACATTGGGCAAAAAAACCGCCCTTCATCTTGCCCACTGCCAGGACCCTGTCCACAATATGGCCAGAGTGGACACTGGAAGGACGACTGCCCCTCTTTGTCTCTGCAAGGTAGGTCAGTCTCCCATTCCCACTCTTAACAGAGTGAAGGCCTCACAGATCTCTTGGGCCTGGCGGCAGAAGACTGATGTGGCCCTGGGATCTCGGCCTCCTTCAAGATCACCTCAGAGGACCCCAGGGTAACCATCCAAGTAGCAGGTAGGCCTCAATCACCTACTTGGTGCTACCTGACTTCTCGGGTAAGCTTTACCCTTCACAGATCTCCATGGTGGGTGTTGACGGTCTCCTCCACCAGCCAAAAAGGAAAGAGAGTTTTATTTAAAATTAAAATTCTTATGGGGGTTGATTTTAAAATACAAGCTACAAAGTAAACAACTGGAAAGGATATAGATAGGTATTGAATGTATTTTTTGAGAAGTTAAAGGAAAAAGGAATGTTTTTTTGGATGAGAAAGGATTTTGTAAAGAAGAGTTTGTCCTAAAGATTGTTTCAAATAGGAGGGATAAGGACAAACCATCCAAGGGTTTAGTATGTTGTGTGAAGGTCTGAGTAAGTTTTAAAAGTGCATAATTAAAAAGCTTCAGTGTGTGATAAAGTTAAAGTTGACTCTAATCTAAGAGTTGCCTAAAAGATCTTTAAGGTCATCTCAAACTAAAATCAAATTCTCTATGTTTATAAAATAACAAGATTATCCTAGTATTGTTCAGCTCTGAGTAACAGCTACAAAAAACTACTATAGGAAAAGATTTTATCAAAGAAATTGTGTTTTCTGCTGACCTTGTCAAGCTTTTAAGTACTGCTAAATCAGAGTTCATTTATGTATTTGCTCATGTGTCTTAAATGACCATCTTGTAACAGTGTTGTGTCTATACTTTATCTAAATATGGTGCAAACATTTACAAAGTTAAAAATGTAGATTTATATAAAATAATGAGCTAAAGCTCTCTTTTATCCAAAGGTGTTACATTTAACCTAAATCCTGACAGTCAGACCCTGCCTCCCACAGGTCACTTACCTAGGCGTGGTTTTAAAGGGACAGACTCACTCCCTGAGTCATGAGGGAATTGACCCAATCCTCCGTTTCCCACTCCCCCATACCATAAAGCAGCTTAGAGCTTTCTTGAGAGTTACAGGATTTTGCAGAATCTGGATCCTTAGATATGCAGCCCTTAGCAGACACCTTTTTATGCTCCTTCTAATATTCCTATTGGGTCTTACATAATAAATGCTCTCAAGATTGTTTCCTCTCCCCTCATAAAGGTGCAAACCAAACCAGTTCACCTGAGAAAGCCAATGAATCCACAGGAAATGAGAAAAACCCACTACACCAGACCACCCCCAGAAGCCCTTCCTTCTTGAGCCCCTTTGAAATAATGTATGGCTGCCCATTTCTTTTAGGAAACTTGCCTCCAACAGACCCTGCTCCTCTGGCTGACTATCTACCTTATCTTAACCTCCTCCGGGAACTTCTCAGACAGCATGTGGACCAGATCCTGCCCCACCCCTCAGATGGCCCTGTAACAATTTCTATTAAACCAGGGGATCTCATTCTCCTAGACGATCTTCATCCCTCTCTGTTTGGACCTCGGTGGACTGGCCCTCATCTGGTCATCCACACAACGCCCACCACTGTCAAGCTCAATGGGATCCCCCAGTGGCAGCACCTTTCAAGGATAAAACATTGCCCACCAACTTCAGACTCTTTCCCTACAGCAAAGGATGAGTACTCTTGCATACCGCTGGATCCCACAAGGCTACACCTCTCCGGAAAACTCTCTCTCTCTTCCACTCCTACATAAGTTCTTAGTCCTCATCTGGCTCTTGATTTTCTGCCACAGGTGGATTTAAAACACTGGTGGGGCAGTGGGCCTAATTCTGGGAGCATGCACAATACTTCCCTGCTTCCTTCTCTTGGTTATACAATCTGTTAGGTCCATCATAGAGGCTACTATAGAAAGAAAAACAGCTGCACATGTAATGGTGCTATGGAAATACGAACCCTTAAACCAGGAAAATGCTCTTTAACACTAGATGCCTCCAGGATCACCTAGGGGAACTCAGCAAATAAGACTTCCCACCAGATGTTACTACAACCTTCTCCTGCCTACCAACTGGCCTGGTCTGCAAAGGAAGCCTGGGAAAAACCATCAGCCTCTGCTCCCGGGGACCTCACAAATTTCCAAATTCCAGCTGAAGCCCCCTTAACGATGCCCTCACTCAGCACGAAACAGCCAGATTGACCAGTGCCCATAATACCAACAAAAGGCCGGAATGTTAGGTCCCTGGCATTCTTGGGGCAGGCAGAAGGTCCCAAGGCTAACACCGAAACCAGACCCCCTGATTTACCACCACTTGCCAAACTTCCCTGCTTGTTCCCCTGCTTGAAAAATCTCAGGAACTTCCAGTTTCTCAACTAGCCAGGCATGTCGACCTGTTCCATCTGGTGATCACAGATAATTGAAGACCAGAGACTCTCTCCCTCTCCCATGGCTTGGCTCCTTCTATAAAGCCCACTACCCATTCCAGCAAAGCCATTGTTCCCTGATCTCAAGAGGGACAGCCCAGCAGTCTGTAATAAATCTTTCTTTTCCACATGTGGCAAGGTCTTTATTCGGCAGTTCCTTACACAGATAACAGGTTTATAGAAACAATATTCTGTATTTTATATTTCCAAGGAAATAGAATGCTGAGTCTTCTTAACTAAGGTTTAATGTCACATACAGGTCTGTTTTGCTTAGAGACTTTCAAGCATTACTTTGCTTAGCCTTTGCCTGCATTCATCTCTTTCCCTAAGTATAATGATTCCACAATTCATCCTTTTTATTTTTTTTTGGAAACATACCTACAATCCCTCTACTGTGTGGTATTCCTGTTTTTGCAGCAAGTTTACAAACTTGATTTTGTTGGGTTGCCAAGTGTGGCCCAGGTGGTCTTTATCAGATTGGCATTATCAGTAACTAAAATTAAAGGGGCTTATATAACTAATTTCATTTTGACATTCCCATTCTTCTTCAACAAGGAATACCTTGTTTAGAATACCTATCTTTCCTCTGAATGTTTTAAAGTCTCTTTCCTTAGTAGATTATGTTTTTGAATACTTACAAGCACTTTCTTTGTAGTTAGAAACTCCAAGATGATATCATCATTTTCTCTCCAGGTTCCCAACACTTTTAGAGCACTCTAATTCACTAGTGAATTAGTAATTTTCACTCCATACTACTAGGGACTCGTTTGGTGTTTATGATTTGGCTACAAAACCATCTTGTTTGTCAAGCCTTAGTTGAAAGCTCTGGACAAATCCAAGGATTTTCTTGTTTGTGTTCTTAGTCTTTTCTTCCTACCTCTATAGTACTTACCACATTCACAGTGTTTTGCACATTTTTCTTCTCTACCAGCATCTGGAGATAAAGAATTGACTATTCATCCTTGTATTCTCCGTGTCAGATCTACTGAATTTCCTGAACGTTACATGAGGTAATGAAAATGTCCACATGGCACTTGGAGAATGTGAGAGAAGTTCCCCCACTTTTACCTAATTTAGAATTGTCTGCTGAGCACTACTCCACATACACCTACCATAACCTCACTTGTCTGGTCTTTTGTGATTTTTGTAACCTTCGAAAAGCAACCAACAGTTCACATGGAGAAAACACCTAAAGCACCATTGTTTGTAGGACACGTTACCAGGAGTATTACCTGAGGCTTTATGAACTTACTTTCCAAGTGACACGTGCTTGCCAGCCACTCAAGTTACTGTGCCTGCACTGGGCTACATGCTAGGGATGACCACTTTTGCATCCCTGGGGTGGGCCAGCAGAAGAATGCTGTCACGTGCAAACCCTCCTGACTCTGGGAGCCAGGCCAACACCACACAACAGCTCGATTGTGATTTTTCTGAATGTCCCTTTTGCAAGCAACAGTGCTTCTCAAACTTTGACCAGACCTAACCTAAAGAAATACATTTTATATGGCCACCAGCATGCATCCTTACCAAAAAAACAAAAACAACCCTGGTAAAATATCTCGAAACAGCTACTTGACTATATCATGCACTGAGCTTTTCCAATGTGTCCTGTTCCATTAAAAACATACCGTGGTGCTGCAAACCTATTTTACAGTGCCCTAGGGATCCTAGCTCATCGTTTGGGAAACGCTGGCTTGACCTGCGGTCCTTCTTCCCCCATCCCCCTCCACTCCTCGGGAGTCACGGCCGTTTTGTTCCCGTCAGAACGATCATCATGGCTCCCGTTTTGTGCAAACGCCCTTGCATGGGGCGCTCCCTTCTTGCCGGCTCCTCTAAGGTGGTGGCAGGGAGCCATGGCGGAGCGTGGGGGAGAGGCCGGACTCGCTCTTCCAGTTCTTGGGAAAGCCGGGGCATGTGTGTGCGCGCATGGAGGGGCAAGGCTGACAGAGAAACAGAGCCCAGAACTCCTGGCGACCATTGCACAGCTGAGGCGCGGCCAACGGAAGATCCGCCGCGTTTCCGGCGAGCCCGCAGCGGGGGAGGGAAGAGGAGAGTGAATAAAGGGGATGTGCGCACGCGCAGAGTGCGCCCCGGCGTCCCTCCGCGCGCGCTCCCGCTGAGCCTCAGCCGGAGGCGGGGTCACGCCGGCGGCGCGCTAGGGGGCGGTCCTTCCGCCAGGCCCCGCCCACCCCACCCCGGGCACGCTCTTGTCCTCCCAGTCTGCCCCGCGCTTCCTGCCTTAAAGTCGGCCGCGCCGGGCGCCCGCGCCAGCTCGCTCGCTCTCGGTGGTGCCATGGCGGCCTTCAGCAAGTACCTGACGGCGCGGAACTCCTCTCTGGCGGGGGCCGCGCTGCTGCTGCTCTGCCTGCTCCACAGGCGGCACCGCGCCCTCGGCCTGCACCGGTAAGGCTGCTGGCCGTGCCGCCCCCGTCCACCGGCCGAGTTCCCGCGTCCCGCCAATGTCAGGGCGTCCGTCAGTCAGGGCGTCCCGGCCCGGTGTCCTCAAGCCTCCCTCTGTTCCCGTCACCTTGGCGTGTTGTGGTGCTGCCATCTCGGCCCGAGGACTTGATTTGGGGGCGCGGGTGGTGGTGACTCGAAGGGGATGCGCTTGGCTCGGGTCCGCCGGGCCCGGTCCCCTCGCAGGGGTCAGCGGCCGTCCTGGCAGTCCATCGTTCCGCACCGAGGCGGTGCCCGGTGCGTGCAGGACAAAGTCCCTCCTCCAGCTTTGTAGGTGAAAGGGAAAAGTGTGTTCTAGGTGAGGATCGCCTCCTGCGTTACGCCCCACCGCGTTCCATTGAACTTTTGGGCAGGAAGACAGGGTCGCCGGGGTGGAGGGATGGCAGGCAAGGTTTTCATTTTCTGGGCGAGTGCAGGAGAAAGGGTGCTTACCTCCCGAGCGTTCTTGCAGTCAGTCTTTGGATCCTAGTTTTCGTGCACGGTGGTTCATCCACCCCTCTGGGCAGGGATGGTTGTCTCCCGTGCTTGAACCGTCTGGGATGTCTAGGTAGTCAGTGAGTTCCGACCAGCACTGACTGGCAGGTGGCTCCTCGGATCCTGTTCCCAAGCGCTTTAGCCTTCTGTTTACTTCGTCTTACTAAAATCCGAAGCCAGGGCCTTTGTTTTCCTCCCTAAATCAGCTTAACGAAGTTAAAAATGATCCCCGTCACAGGCTGGTGGTTACAATACCGATTCATTTTTCTTCTGTTCAGTGAGTGTTTGTGTGTGTTTGAAGGATTCGTTCTGGAAAGTACAAAACGTTTTGTTTTGTTTTTCCCCCTATTGGTTTGCATGCTTTCGACCTCCCACTGGCAAATGGAAGTTACTTGCTACCTGGGAGTGTGCTATAGGTGATGTTAAATACTTTACCTTGAGTGACATTTTCGCAGAGAAGTGTCTCAGTGCATAGAACAGGACAGCTAGCAACTTTGGCTTGCTTTTATGATTGCTTTTTCAAAAAAAAAAAAAAAAACCCAAAAAACCACCTTTCTTTTCTGGGGAATTACATACATACAGAAAAATCCACATACCATTTTTCACAGGTAGAACACACCTGTGTCAGCAGCCAGATCCACTCTCATGCCCACTGATTTATGTATTAAGACCATAGGTTGTGGAATTTAAACCTAGTTTAGGGGATTTTAAACCTAGTCCAGTGAGAGAGTAGCAGGAAAGCAGTGTAATGGAATTTGTCTTACCAAATAATTGTGCCTGTTCATTCACTATTGTAAAATTCTTTAAAAAGCTCTTTGAGAAACTTTGTCAACTTTTGGAGGATCCTGTTACTGAACAAAATGTTCTTGCCCGTCTTTTGCATCGGATGAGCAGCAAAATCTTTGCTTTACACATTAAGTATTTTGTGGGAAGAGAATGCAGATTAAGACCAGATAATCATGAGGTTTAAATAACTGATTTAAAACGACTGAATTATTTTGAAGTCATTAATGATACGAGGCATCCTTTGTAGATGTACTTCCAGACTCTTACGCCTTTCAGTCACTACCTTCAGCTTCACAGTTTGAACCTTTTATTTTACTGGCCTTTGTATGTTTTGGGTAACAGGTCTAATTAATTTTAATGCCTGCTACTTAATTAAGGAGCAAGTGGTTGCTGGGACTTCTTTTGTCCCTCTTGTCAACAGTGGATTTGTCTTAAGAGTCTGTGTTCTCTTGGAATTGGATTGGTAATACATAAAATCATTTCAAGTTACAGTAGAATGTCATCTCAAACATTAGGAGAGTAAGTAATGTTCTGGCCTTTAAAAAAATTACCGTAAGGAATTTCTTTTCACCCGCTTAAATCATACACACATACATATACACACACAGCCTTTGCGTATGCAAAATTTGCACATACACAAAATAATTTAATAATCTCCCTGTTCACTTTACGCAAGAGGTACCAATTTTGATGTTGTTTCATGTATACCTACTTGCTCCTTATTCCTTCTTTTCACAGGTTTTTAGGTAAAATTTATATACATTTAAATGTGCAATGATTAGGTGCACATTTTTTAAAACAAGTGGATATACTTCTGTAGTACATTCCTCTTGGAGTTAGGGTTTTTCAGTACCAGAAAGTTTCTTTGTATTCACTTCTGATTGCTTCCCACCACTGATGTGCTACTTTTTTCACTTTAGTTTTGCCCACTCATACATATTATTTTGTTTATAACTCTTAGAGGGAAAAGTGGAATCTTTTTGCTCATGGATAAGAGCCATTTATTCAGTGCAAAGGAAGTGTCTGTTTCAGGATGTTGTGTTAGTGTGCTGCAGGTAATAGGAGACATATATATTACATATATTTAAAAGGTGTAAGACATCTTTTTTGAAGGAGCCTACATTCTTGATAGGGAGAAGAATTGTAAACACAAAATATTAGAAATGCAAGGTGACAGAAGGAGGTGTACAGGCAGACATGCCCTCTAAGTTCTCAGAAAGGCCCGAGGAATGTCTTCAGGAAGAGGTAGGGAAGGCTTTGTTAAGGATGCGAGCTGAGCCTGGAAAGGGTGTGGGCGTGGATAATGAGATAAATTGAAGGTTATAGCAGCCTTTATCAGATTTTTGTTGCATTTATGATAGGCAGAGACATTGTGATGTTCTTTTAATCCATCTTCCACTGCCACCATCTTTTGAAGAAACACAAATACCATAATACTCCTTCATTAAAACATTTCACCCCCTCTAAAATACAAACCTCCAGTGTCATGAGTTTGTTCCTATCCAGCATGTGGAGTTGTAGTCTCCCGAGCACAACGGGTTCTGGTTGTAATCCCCTACTTCCCCCAGCTCTCTGACTCAGCCAGTGAACATCCTCTCCTAGGTGCACGCAGTCTTGGGGTAGGGAATGTCTCCATGCTGATGTGGGCGTCTTCCGCTGTCCTCACGATAAGCATTCTTCTCCTAGCAGTGGCCACTCTGTGTTGTGCTGGTTTCTTTTCTTGTCTTCTTTCTACATCAGGCCCTCAGTCTCTTGAGGGCATGGACTGAGTGATCTTTGTTTATGTTAATTAATTAATTTGCTGGGGATTGAACGTAGGTTGTTGCACTTCTATGCCCCTAACCTTTTTGTTTTTACTTTATGTTTGAGATAGAGTCTCTCTAACTTAGCTCAGGCTAGCCTGGAACTTGAGATCCGCCTGCCTTCCCCTTCCAAGTAGCTGGGTTACAGATGTGTACCATTATGCCGGGCTTATGTATGTATGAATATATGTATGTATTTTTTGCAATGCTGGAGATCAAACCTAGAGCCTTGTGCATGCTAGGCAAGCACTCTGAATCACCTTTAAATCCCTTGTTTGGGTATGCCACCGGACAGATACTCAGTAAGTATTACAGACTGGCTCAATGATGAAGAACAATGATGAAGAGTTGAAGAACTCTTACGCATGATTGACAGGCATTGGAGATGTGAGACTAGTACAAACATGAATATAGACTTATGGCTGCAGAAGTGAGGGTTGTGTACCTGACAGTCTATATAACTTGACTGGGTAGTGGGCAATCAATGAACCAGTTTTAGAACGCATATCAGTCTATGTTGCCACTGTATTTTATTATCTTAAACCAACAAGCAAAACACACAAAATAGAACAAACCAGTTTCTTTCCCTACCCATCAGTGCTTGTGAAATAAAGTTCAGATTTCTCCTCCTGGGTTTCAGAGCCTTCCTCGATCTAGTCTCATCTTACCTGTCTAATCTTCTATGTACTGTCTGCCAGTAGGTGCTCTGTTCCAAGTGGGCCGGCTTTTGCGCTGCTCTTTGAGAGGTTATTTTCGTTCCTGGCTTTGGGGCCTCAGCCATGCTGTCAGTCACACCTGGAATTTCTCTCTTGGTATCCTCTGTTCGTCACCTCTTAGCATCCTTGAAGGATACCCTTCTGAGGTATTTAGCTCTCTACGGGGTGCAGACGATGAGTACCCCCTGTGACCTTCCAAAGCAAGCATGCAGGTGCCCTGCTGGCTTCATTACTCAGTGCCTCTATGGGTAAAGCCCAGCTGGGTGATCCAGGTACACCTTTATCCTGTCTTCTTCTTAAAGTCCCGCCTACAAATGCTGACGCACTTTCTTCCTCCACACATTTCCGAGGAGTTTTTGGTGTTTGTGTTTCTCTTAATCACCTTGTGCTTCTTTGCTTCTGCTCTAATTTAGATCCCTCTTACATCTAGTCTTCTGAGCCTGCCTCTGATATCTGCCTAGAGTTCTTTCAAAGCACGACCCACAAAACAGGCATTGTAGAAGATTCTGGTTGAACATTGGGTGCAGTGGCAGGGATTATATCCCAGTTTAGCGAACATTTTAAAATTCTTTTACTTGGCCGATTCCTTGGACACTGCCCCTGCTGGAGATCTGGGGGCTATTTTTTTTTTGCGCTGAGTTTCAGTCTTGTGGCCTGTTGGTTGCAGAGCCTTTTCTTTAACATTTGAAAGTCCTCAGGCTTCCTTCCACTCCTTGCTGTCCCTTCCCACTAGCCCTCTAACTCTCTAACTCTCCTGTGAACTTCAGGTTCATCGTTACCCTTCAAAGCAAGCTCTGTATGGCTTCACTGAGCACAACAACCGCACAGGTCCACCGAGTGTTTGCAAACTGTAAGCCTGAGTCATGTGAGGGGTTGGAGTTGCATGTGGCTCTTAAGGTGAACCATGAGTAGATGTGATGGCTGGCCCTGTGTGGAACCCTAGAATACAAGGATATGCCATGTGACCAGTGCTAAAAAGCAGCTGCTTACAGAACCCAGCTGAGGCAGATCAGGCCCAGAACAGCATCAAGAACTGTAGCTGTTTCATCTGCTGGGAGCCACTGGGTACTGGTTGTTTAATTAATTACGCTTCCCAGTTTAGCATGGGAGCATCTTTGGCCAGGTATTCTTTTCAGGGCTTTGGTGTTTGTTGTTCCCCTGCCTAAAG